AGAAATAAATCTGACGATTGGAATTTATTTGTAATATCATTACACCGAAGATTTTTATGTGGTTTTTCGGTATGCGGGAATTTTTAAAATGTAAGGAAAATTACATAATTAGCTTTGATGGAATTTTTATTTTATTTCTACAACGAGTAATTTTTTTCATTCATTTTTAATATTCATTTATAATATTATTATAAATTTTAGATTCAATACATTTCAATNTAATGCTAATTTTTGTAAAATGACGCATGGAAATGAGGATTTGCATAAATATTCGCGATCTGGTAATTATAATTTATGTAACTTAATAAGTGGGCTCCAAATGAACAAGGTAAAATAAATAATAATAAATAACTCTGTGTGTGTGTGTGTGTGTGTGTGTGTGTGTGCATTGCAAAATAAATAACGTTTACTTCAACGAATTTTTCAAATTTTCGTCACAGGCTCAGATAAAAAACTTAAAAAAGAAACGAGGGTTTTCAATTTTTTCTTTTCACTCCAATTAATAGCAAAATCAACCATTTGCAATCGAAGCCAATTTAAGAGTAAATCTAAAATAATCTTTCTCACTTACAGTGAGAGAACTTACATTCCTTTTTTATATAACAAAGTGCATTCTATGCATATGAAATTGAGATCTCTTTTTATTACAATTTTATATTTATATTACAGCTTTTTTTTTAGTTACAATTTTAATTATATCTCTCAAGCCAAACTTTGATAATATAAAAATTATCTTGGCGATGTAACAATTTCAGCGAAACAATTTCAGAGTCGTCACTCGAGTGCAAAGGGTTAAAAAAAGCTTCTCAGGCATCATCTAGCAGACCAGTCCTCCCTCCTCTTGCGTCGTCTGAAAAAAATTTCGCTTATAATAATAAATTAATTCGTTTAAATAATAATTAATTCGCTTAAAATAATTATAAAAATTCGTTCAATACACTTAGTTCAGTTTTCAAAAATTTATCGCGCATTAAAAGGTGTTCGAACAATTTTGCGGCAACCAAAATTATTCAATTATTCAATTCGCTTAAATAATAATTAATTCGCTTAAAATAATTATAAAAATTCGCTTGATAAACTTAGTTCAGTTTTCAAAAATTTATCGCGCATTGAAAGGTGTTCGAACAATTTTGCGGCAACCAATGTATGTAACAATGACTTCGTTGTTGCAGAATTCAGAGAGGCTTTCAACTTATTCGACAAAGATGGCGACGGGAGCATCACGAAGGAGGAGCTGGGCAGGGTGATGCGTTCCCTTGGGCAGTTCGCAAGAGCCGAGGAGCTTCACACCATGATGCAAGACATCGATATCGACGGTGAGTTTGCGTATGCTTATGCAAAACATAAAAGACGTTTCAACAGAATGTGAACCGAGCAGCTCGTTACCTTTATACATGATTTAAAAATAATGTATCCGACGTGAATATTTAATACGTTGAAGGTGTAAAAAGAAAAAAAAGACCTCGATAAAATAAACTGATAAATAATTGCTGAGATAGCTTCGTCAATGATTAACAATAAATAATAAAACAAACTGATAAATAATTGCTGAGATAAGTTCGTCAACGATTAAAATAAATAATAAAATAAACTATATTAAATAATTATTGTGATAACTTCATCAACGATTAACAATAAATAATAAAATACACTGATAAATAATTACTGAGATAACTTCATCAACGATTAACAATAAATAATAAAATACACTGATAAATAATTATTGTGATAACTTCATCAACGATTAACGATAAATAATAAAATACACTGATAAATAATTACTGAGATAACTTCATCAACGATTAACAATAAATAATAAAATACACTGATAAATAATTATTGTGATAACTTCATCAACGATTAACAATAAATAATAAAATACACTGATAAATAATTACTGAGATAACTTCATCAACGATTAACAATAAATAATAAAATACACTGATAAATAATTATTGTGATAACTTCATCAACGATTAACAATAAATAATAAAATACACTGATAAATAATTACTGAGATAACTTCATCAACGATTAACAATAAATAATAAAATACACTGATAAATAATTATTGTGATAACTTCATCAACGATTAACAATAAATAATAAAATACACTGATAAATAATTACTGAGATAACTTCATCAACGATTAACAATAAATAATAAAATACACTGATAAATAATTATTGTGATAACTTCATCAACGATTAACAATAAATAATAAAATACACTGATAAATAATTACTGAGATAACTTCATCAACGATTAACAATAAATAATAAAATACACTGATAAATAATTATTGTGATAACTTCATCAACGATTAACAATAAATAATAAAATACACTGATAAATAATTACTGAGATAACTTCATCAACGATTAACAATAAATAATAAAATACACTGATAAATAATTACTGAGATAACTTCATCAACGATTAACGATAAATAATAAAATACACTGATAAATAATTACTGAGATAACTTCGTCAACGATTATAACAATAAATAATAAAATACACTGATAAATAATTATTGTGATAACTTCATCAACGATTAACAATAAATAATAAAATACACTGATAAATAATTACTGAGATAACTTCATCAACGATTAACGATAAATAATAAAATACACTGATAAATAATTACTGAGATATCTTCTTAAAAAATTAACAATATATAATAAAACAAACTGATGAATAATTGCCGAAATAACTTGATCAAAAATTAGCAATAAATACTAAAGCAAACTGATAAATAATTACTAAGATAATTTTATCAACAAATAAAATAAATAACAAAACAAACCGATAAATAATTACCGAGACAACTTCATCAACAATTAACAATAATACGATAGACTCTAACGCATCTGGTTAGTATTAATAACATTGTTCGAATTTTACACAAAATTTCAACGACGAAATTATTTCTCGAAATTGTTTAAAATTCACGAACCATTCGTATTACCGAGCAAACGTTTGAATCTGCGACGACGCCCCCGAAAAATTGTAACCAATAGATATCGTAAAAATACGATCCTACCGACATAGAGAATGCTACTATCAATTATGCTGAAAACTGAATTATCGTAAGCAAATAAAAGAGTGCAGACGCTCGTAATTTAGCCGGCGATGACGTGCACACGCCGCCGGAACACATACCAAATACGTTTTAATATCGACTGCGCGATCCCGAATTCATTAGCTAATAAAATATTTCGAAGCGTATGTCGAATCGAATGTGCTCCAATAACATTTATCAGAATCACAGTGTCGGCCGAGTCGCGTCAGAATTATTATCACTCGAGTTTAAATAAAACGCGGCGGCTATCGATTCTGTCTGACAATCGACATTATCCCGGACGTCTGATTAGTTTAGGGAAACTAACGGATTAGAACTTTTTTATTATTTATGTAACATTGTATTTTTATTATATTTTCTTACGTATTGTACATTTTTATTGTACGCTGTTACGTATATCATGGCCCATAAAAGGGTTCGTACACCTTTTATATATATAATATATAACATATAATAATATAGTTATAATACTAATATATAACAAATAACTATAATAAAATAGTTATAGTACTAATATATAACAAATAACTATAATAATATAGTTATAATACTAATATACAGAGTGTCTCAAAAATGTCTCGCAATCCGGAAATGGGAGATTCCTGAGGTCATTTGAAGCAACTTTTTCCTTTGCGAAAATTTTCTCCGAGGCTTCGTTTACGAGTTATTAACGAAAAACACTGACCAATAAGAGGCAAGCTCGGCTGGCGCGCGGCGGCCCAGCCAACGAGTGCGCGGAGCCCAGTTCCGCTCATTGGCTCGGCCGTCTCGCACCAAATGATCTCGCCTCTGATTGGTCACTGTTTTTCGTTGATAACTCGTAAACGAAGCCGCGGATTGCATTTTCGCTAAGGAAAAAGTTGCTTCAAA